CCGAAAGATTGCTTCCCACTGCCGAGGATTGATCAGCTCGTGGACGCCACAGCCGGGCACGAACTGCTCACCTTCATGGACGCCTACTCTGGGTACAACCAAATGAAGATGCATGTCCCAGATCAAGATCATACCGCATTCATAACAGACCAAGGTCTGTACTGTTACAAGGTCATGCCCTTCGGTTTAAAGAACGCAGGAGCGACCTACCAGAGAATGGTGAACAAAATGTTCGCCAAGCAGATCGGTCGGAATATGGAAGTGTATGTGGACGAGATGCTTGTCAAGAGCAAGCAGTCTAAGTCACATCTCTCCGATCTGACCGAAGCCTTCGAGGTTCTGAGGACATATCAAATGAAGCTCAACCCAGCTAAATGTGCCTTTGGAGTCTCTTCGGGAAAATTCCTTGGCTTCATGGTGAACAACCAGGGAATCGAGGCCAACCCCGAAAAAATTAAAGTCGTGCTCGAGATGGAGGCACCTAAGACGCTGAAGCAGCTTCAGTGCCTCAGTGGCAGGATTGCGGCCCTGAACCGGTTTGTTTCGAGATCGACAGATAAGTGCCTTCCTTTCTTCAAAGTCCTACGAAAGAAAGGGTCGTTTGAATGGACAGCGGAGTGCGAACAAGCATTTCAGCAGTTGAAAAGTTACCTCTGCTCGGCACCTTTGCTCGCCAAACCCCTGCCAGGGGACAAGCTCCAGTTGTACTTAGCAGTGTCTGACAGTGCCGTCAGCTCGGCCCTAATCAGGCAAGAGGAAGCGCGGCAAAACCCGGTCTACTACACAAGCAAGGTTATGACCGAAGCCGAGACCAGATACCCTAAAATGGAAAAGTTGGCCCTCGCTTTAGGTACCTCGGCCCGACGGCTTAGACCATACTGTGGTGGTGCTCACTAACTTGCCCCTAAAAAACATCTTCCATAAGCCAGAAGCTTCTGGACGCCTGATGAAGTGGGCAATGGAGCTAAGTGAGTACGACATCCAGTTCGAACCCCGAACTGCGTTGAAAGGACAAACAGCGGCAGATTTCATAGCCGAGCTCACACCACCTTCCGAGCTGAGCGAGTCCGACCAACCGTGGACAATCTATGTCGACGGATCCTCCAACGAGAAGGGGTGCGGGGCCAGGGTCCTCTTGCTCGGACCAGGAGGCGAGCGATTTGAGTATGCCTTGAGGTTCGGCTTCCAGACTTCTAACAACGAGGCTGAGTATGAAGCATTCATTGCCGGTCTGCGAATCGCTAGAGCATTGGGGGCCTCTTGTGTTAAGGTCTTCAGCAACTCCCAACTGGTTGTGAGCCAGATCAAGGAAGAGTACCAAGCCAAAGACTCCCGAATGGAGAAGTATTTGGGCAAGGTCAGATCGTACCTCGCCCAGTTTAGAACTTACGAAGTAAGCCGGGTTCCCCGAGCAGAAAATTCTAATGCTGACGCCTTGGCCAAGTTAGCATCAGCGTACGAGATCGACCTGGCCAGGTC